TTACTAGACTTTAGATTGTTTAGATTTGAGAATTCAGAAAGAGTTGCAATAATGTTACTCCCATCAGTGTCTTTCTCTTAATTTTACAGTCTGATTTCAAGCCACTTACTGTGTGAACAGCTATTTCACATCACTTGAAATGGAATTGTAACAATCTAGGACTTTTTTTATTATTCTTGCAGACTAGCCAGCTTTTGATGGAGTCCAGTCTTTGGTAACAGTCACGATGAGTTTATCTCAGAAGTGCTGTTGTCCACAACAATCAAAGGTTCAGGACCGCAGAGCTTTAAGCTCTCTTTCTATACCTGGTTGGAGAAAGGAAGGGGAAATCTCTATATACAGTGACAACTTTAAATGTATCTATTGTATATATACTGTACAATGGTGTCCAAAATGCTGCGAAAACTAGTGAAAATGCCTCTGTTTTACATTTATTTATATTTTTACCTTTTTAACTTACATTAACAACAAATTGTTCAAATTTGATTTTACATCTTACTTTATATGCATTTTCAAATTTTTGTCATTTTCAGATTTGTTAACATTATGTTCATTTTCCCTGACTTTTATTTTGCACAAACATGCTCTTTTTGCTCTTAGCTGCAGTCAGTCCACTCTGATTTCTGTGAATTCACAGACTATTATTGAAGCTCAAGGGTGAAAATACAAGCCTGTCCATAATGACCTTTACCTGTCAAGGTAGAATAATCAGATTTCACTTTTTGCCTCAGCAGGCCAGCAGACAGCTCACTAAAACTTAATACACAGCAGAGCTGCTCATTTCACCAGGCCAGATGAAAAACAGGTCCAAAGGGCCCTGTCATCTAACGCTATGTAGTTCTCATCCTGTAGAGCTATGTAGTCAGCTATTATTCAATATGAAGTGTAAGCAAGCCATAGACTTTAGTTAGAGCAGACACCATATTTAATCTGATGTGAACAGAAGTGAGGCAGTGAGAGAGTCCATTCAATATGTCGTACTGTTGCGTACGTGGAAGTTGATCGTTCAATCGATAAAACTGAAATGTCTTTCCACAAGTTTTCAGTGGATATAAAACTTTAGAAAATATGCATTATGAAGATGTGACTCAGTTGCACTATTTCCAGGTACACAACAGTGAAGCATACTAAACGTATGTCCCTCTCATTCTCATTATCATTTGCGAGTCAAAATCAATGTGGTGTTTACTAAATCAGTCGTTTCAACTGGTTTGTTTTCAGGATCCAGAATAATTTATGCTGCAAAATTAAACAATCAAATTATTAATATTCTGCATATTTCCCACAATATGCAAAATAGACACATTTGGTTTCTAAACGTCTCTTCACTCTCAGCAGTGTTATTCTAATATACGAGATACTATTATAGTTTTTGTTCATATTTTGAATTAGATTTTTTTTTATATGTGACCCTGGATCACAAAACCAGTCATAAGGGTACATTTTTTGAATTTGAGATTTATACATCATCTGAAAGCTGAATAAATCAACGTTCCATTGATGTATGGTTTGTTAGGATAGGACAATATTTGGCCGAGATACAACTATTTGAAAATCTGGAATCTGAGGGTGCAAAAAAAACTAAATATTGAGAAAATCGCATTTAAACTTGTCCAAATTAAGTTCTTAGCAATGCATATTACTAATCAAAAATTAAGTTTTGATATATTTACGGTAGGAAATTTACAAAATATCTTCAATGAACATGATCTTTACTTAATATCCTAATGATTTTTGGCATAAAAAGAAAAAATTATAATTTTGGCCCATACAATGTATTGTTGGCTATTGCTACAATTATATATACGTGTGACTTAAGACTGATCTTGTGCTCCAGGGTCACAAATATATTTTCAGATTTTTTTTTTTTGTCTATTTTATTAGTTTTTGTTTGTTTGTTTTTAAAGTGTATGTATTTGTTATTTTAGTACAATTTCAACTAAATGAAAATGAGAAATGTTGGAGTTTTGCCGAAAAGTTTTTTTATTTTTTATTTCAATAAACAGTTATTTCATTTCATTTACGGAAATGTGTTCTGTGGTTTTAGTGTTAGTTTTACATTTAGTTAGCTATAATAATCCTGATTCTCAGAAGCTAATAATTCAATGCACAAAATAAAAAACAGAACTACCAGACTTTGCTATAAGTTTGATTGTATCATATAATAATGGCTGTTAATAGTGTTCATCGTCTGTTTGATTATATCTTTAATTGATTTTTCCGTACATTTCTGCCATATGTACATAAACTGACAGTCACCACTGATAAGCTACCACTAAATATTATAGAAACTTAATTTTCTGTAAAGTTGCTTTGCAACGATTTGTATCGTAATTTAAAATTGTTCATTAGTAATTATAAATTGTTAAGAACCTATTCAGTTCAGGTGCCAAACCTTGTTGTTGAAATTATAATGGTGGCTGTTGGTCACGTTTTGCTGCAAATTATTTAGTGGCAACAGACTCCAAGTAAACTTTATTGAATGATGTTAAAAAAAAATCAATAAACAGATAATTCTACATTTTTTTATTTGTCCAAAATACATTGTTCTTTAAATAATGTATTAAGACTGAAAATAAATTGAACGGATTTAACCGGATTTGCTTATCTGTCAGACACCATGAAGCATTACACTCTCGGCTTTGAGAAGAGTGGAGAAACAAGCTAATCTTCCAGGAGTTCAATATTAAGTTCCCGTCACTGTCAGACGGGGCGTGAGAGAGGGAGGGAAAAAGATTAGACTCTTCAGCACAGATGAACGTTAAAGGCTTATATTCCACCGAAACACATTCTCACATTGTTAATATGTGGATTAGGCCATTTTCTCCTTCCCAACAGAAGTATCAATATAGGAGTATAAAATGGCATAATGCAGCAGCTCTCCACTGCATTCTCGGCCTGTATCAACGCTGAGCTCGTGTTATTGTGAAAGAGGATATGAAGAGTGACTTATGAGATATTCAATGCTTCTAACTGATTCCAGGATCTGTACCTGTGCTTTAGTCTGCGTGTATTCATAGACATACATATTCAAGGCGGCTATTGTGTCAGTAATGTTTTCATACCGAATATCAACCGTGGGTTCTGTTCGGAGCGGTTTATGAGATTAAATGCTGTCATTCAAGGGAGAAACCTGAAATAATTTCACATTTTCTCCACAATCAGTCAATTACGTTTCTCATTGCTTTCTGCATCTGTGATATCCTCCTCCTCTTTCAGTCACGAAGATGAGTTGTTTGCCACACTAAATATAAATTCAATGAATAATTTTATATTCACATGGAGCAATATTCCACACCCCGCCAGTGTGAAGCGCCACCTCTGCCCAGCCTGATGTGCATTCGAATGGATTTTTGCGCCATTTTCATACCAAAACTGGGTGAAAAAAAGAAGAAGCTCTTTTTCCCCACAGCAAAGTCCACCAAGAATATAGAGGGAAAACCTTTTATTATTCCATCAAACCCAATCATATTTATGACCCTGCGCTTTCACGTAGGAGAGCGCTTTCCATTGCTCCATTGCTGTGTTATTTAAAATTTCATAAACCTGGTCTACGACAGTACTTATTTGGCCCCACATTCTAATCTGCTCCTAATAAAGACATGCCAAGCAGAGGGTGTGAAAAACGAGCTCACCACGGCGGTTGGCATGAGTAAGGGAGAGCGCTGGGGATAAATCAGACGTTGGAGACACACCGATAATCTCAGAGTGCCGCTGTGTGTTTGGTGCTCTCCTCTCAGCACCGGTGATATACAGTGATGGGAAATCCATGCAGACTCTCAAAAGGGCGAGATGGAGGTGACTCGTATAAATGGTTGACATGAGCAGTTTTTCAAAATAAAAGTTTGGAATTAACACCCAAGATGAGCTCAGCAAACTCATTCACTGTCTGTCACTGGTGAATTAATGTTTATTGACGGGGAAATAATGACACTGACTCACGAGCAGGCTTACGTGAAATCTGTTCCTGCAGAGCTCCTCGGAAACTTCTGTCATTTATAAAATTCCCTAAATCTCAGACTCATTGCATATTCATTTATTATATATTGTGGCTAATTTGATTATGCTTTCAGCTGCTAATAAGAATGTGGTACTCTCAGCTCCATTCAGAGGGAATAGTTCTCCCAAAAATGAAAATCCTGTTATTTTTCCACCCTCATCTTGTTCTAAATCCATGTATTATTTATTAATTTACTTATTTCAATATTTACTTATTTCTTGAAAAACCAACTTTGTATAATTTGGTCCATGTGGAAAGTGTTTTATGATTTTTTTTATACATTTAATTAATGTATATAGACACAATTAAGTGTGTGTGTGTGTGGGGAGGGGGAGGGTATTGGCTACATTTTGGGGAACAATTGTCCCCACAAGTGTAGTAATACCTAATTTTTGACCTAATGGAGACATTTTTTTGGTCCCTATGAGCAAAACAGCTTATAAATCATACTAAAGGAAGTTTTTTTAATCTAAAAATACAGAAAGTTTTCTGTGAGTGGTAGGTTTAGGGTTAGAGTTAGGGATAGAATATACAGTTTAAACAGGATAAAAATCATTATGTCTATCAAATGTCCCCATAAAGCATGGACAATGTGTGTGTGTGTGTGTGTGTGTGTGTGTGTGTGTGTGCATTTACTATTTTTTGTTAATTTGTTTAGGTTGTTGAAATGCAAATTACTGTCCATATTTTATCTTCATAATGTTTGACCAATAAAATAGTGTTACAAAAATATTTACTTATTAATTTGAAATTCTTTTCGTTCTTAACTCAGTATGTTCAATTCTTTTTCTTCTTTTGAAGGCCTTCTTGGATGTTTTTGCTCATGCACACCACAAATGTTTACGTCAAAATCAGTGCAGAAAAATGCATCTGGACCTATACAATATATTAGAAACTTTATTTAAATAGGTTCTTTTACATTATGGTGGTGCAATCTAATGCATTCAAGTCTCTCTTTTGTTTGTCTATTGTCCTGTTTGTGTGTTTCACCGTATTATAGACCACGGATGATATGGTCTCTTCGGCCGAATGCTCCAGTGACGACGAGGACTTTGCCGAGTGCGAAGGACATGCAGGTGGGCTAGGTCAGTTGAATTTTGCTTGCCTCTATGTGGTGGCCTTTCATTTGCAACTGAGGATCAGATCCTCAAAGCATCGCCTCCCCCCATGGATAGAAAAAGTGTAACTTCCTTTCCAATCCAATCCATGTACACCAATATAGAGACATGAATATAGTAGGATATCTTTAGAAATATTCTAAACAAAACAGAAATAGGCATGGATTTATAATGCTTAGTCTATTCAGTAGCCTTGAATCAGAGCTGATGTCAAATCATTCCCCTCAAACTTTTATTACGAGCTACACTTGGCCATGGGGTTTTCCGAAGTGGTTAACATGGTCACACTGATTACTAATTTTGTCCCCAGTGCCTATTATGAGAGCATACGTACAAAATTAGTACAGAAAAGTGACATGTTCTCTGCATTGATGCTTCAAAATGTATCATACTGAGGTTTCTTTGCCATGTGATAGTGGACTGCATTTTGGCACATGATACATTTTGAGATTTCTCTTGAACTTTGCTTTCAGCCTTATAGTAGAGTGATATCTATGAGATTAATTGCTGTTGAAGCAGTCTTTTCGATTCCTTTCTGTTTCCTCATTTCAAGAGGCTTGATTTAAGTTAACTTGTTGTAATAGAGAACAGATATCATCGAATTTCTGTGTACCAATTTTTGTTTTGTGTCGTTATGCTTATTTTTAACGATATAATTTTGCCTCAGTGTGAACAAGTTGTTCTGCTAATATTTTCCAACCTGAATATGAAAAATACAATTCAGTGATTAGATTGATAGTGAGAAAGAGAGAGATTTGAGAGAAGTTGGGTATTGGCTTTTTTTTTTTACGTAATTGTAGCTTTGAGGAAAATAGTCTGTCATGTCTTTTGCGAAATATGCTACTTTTGTGATTGCCGTTATAGATAATTGAACATGTATTTCTTTGCAAATCATGATTCCAGCCAGAGAGGTCAAATGAATCTCATTATCATTTGAGTAAAACCCTACCACTTACAATAATTGCGTGTTTCTTCAACTTTGGGCACTTTTATATCCAAGGGGTTGATTTTTATTAAAATGAACAGATTTCAACTTTTTTTCGGTGACATGAAGGTCACGTTAAAATGTATCACATCAAGTCTTTTTACCATACTTTCATCATTTATTTAGATGTTTTTATAATAGATTTGATTGTTTTCACAAAGTAGCAAAATAATCATAAACATCTAAATAATAAATATCTGCATAAATTATTTACATTTATTGAAAGAAATATTATACCCAAATATATGTTTAGAAGTTGTATTTATTTATTTCGCTATTTATTTATTTATTTGCTCCACAAAATGCTATGAAATGCATTATGTTATATGAAATATCATAATATAACTTTGTTACAAATTACTGCAAGTAAACTAGCAAATGTATTTAAAAAGTGTGTTCTCCACAAAGTAGAGAAAGCCAGATGTGCCCCTAGTTAAACAAACACCCAATTATACATTTTCCATGTCGGAAAAGCGAACCAGCGCACAACAAGAAGAACAATGTGCCATCAGATGATTTCCAGAGGCCAAAGCCATTTCATGGCCTGTTAGTTTGATCTATTGGCCTGTAATGAGCACGCTGTCTTTCATCACAGAAATGCGCAACATGTTTATTGTGTTCCATTGGATGAAAATGCATACGTTTAAGTTTTCATGCAGACATGACAGGCTAGTGATCTGCTCTGTTAGCCTGTTCTGACTCTCTGCAATTCTCTCAAATGCCAATGCCAATTTCTTCCAAATGACATCAGTTTAGCGGTTTGAGAACAATATCCATCTTTCTGGAATCTTTATGTACTCATAAAGAAAGCTATTGGCAGGGTCCCAATCATCCAGTCACGTTTACACAGAAATTCATGCCATTCTAACCTCTACATCAGTTGATGTGAAGCTGCATGAGACATAACCGCTGCAGGGGTGCGTCCTCATATTCGGCGTGTGTTCTGTACCGCATGCGTGGGGTACTTCCCCTTGATTCGTCCTCTTAATTTCATGAGCTTGCTCGTGGTCGATGTTATTTCCCAGCTTTCCAAAAGCAACATTCCTGTCATCTCGCCTCATCTTGTTCCGCATGGTATTTTGGTGTTGAAATCGATTTTTCCTCCATTTTTCTCAAGCATCTGTTCCATCTGGGCTTGACCTTGAACATTGCCATTTTGATTAACAAAGCGAATAACAGGCAACAAAATCTTTTCTTGCCATCCAAAGAGTTTTTAGAGCTCAAGCATTGATATATCTTAAGAAAGTTGTGTTTTAAGAATGACCAGCATCCTTGAACGATCCTTTGCGCTCTCTCTTCCTCCTCCCCTGACTGAGCCGGTCTGCATATGAAGTCGTTTTTGAATGCAGATGGCATAGAAAGAGTTTTATTGCCACAAACCATGCACTTCTCAATGTCACGCTTTCTTAAGCAGTCATTTGTGGCATGTAATATTGTAGCTGCTAGTCAGAGCCATTTTCCAGACTATTCTCTCATTATTCAGTGCATGGCGCCATTTTTTGATCTCCATGCATATCCTCACCATCAGACTAACCTGAGTGCTGTACTGTATGTATGAGCCAGTTTCAACAAAGCATCATACCTCAAGCTTATGGTTGCAAAGATCTCCGCTGCATTTCCTGTACCAAATCGTGTTCCTGTCTATCAACGTGTCTGTCTTGACGTGTTGTCACGTGATTCTGTTCTCTGTTTGTAAAAATTGTTGGGTTTTCCCCTTTATCCCCTATCTGGAATTCCATAGGAGGGCTTCTGCTGATTAATGATACGCTTCAGAATTATTCCGTAGAGCGGTTCTGCTGTATCATTCTCAAATTATTTCTCTGCACACAGACCTCATTATTTTAAAATTCATGCTTGCATGCAAACCAAAAAAGTTATATTTATGTTATGTAAAGTTGCGGATGTATTTTTAGAAAGTTGTAAATAAACCCCACACATTTAGTTTATTCTGAAACATTAAATGGGGCTCATTTTCAGAGTGTTTTAAATGATTCGGTAGTACAGTATTTCCGTTTGAACAAGACAAAAGGTGAAATTAATTAGGAATTGAGGGCAAGAAACCTCCAGAGACTCAATTATCTGTTTGACAGAAGCATCTCTCACTCTTATAGTTTACGGTACAGTTTACATATGCAGGAATGGTTCAGTGCGATGTATTAATATTAAAGTTGCATTGCAGATTTGTGTTGGCATGTAGTGTAATACTAATCAGTTCTAAAGAGCAAAGTTCTACATCTTTCCAAGTGTGATTTGTTCAGGCTTATCACTGTCTCATATTGAGGCTTTTGATTAAATAATTAGAGATAATTAATTAAAATGAAAATTTTGTTAAAATGAAAAACAAGCTCCAGTTTTGCTTTGCTGTGATAGCAATTTGTTTGTTTCTGCTAAAAAAAAAAAAAAAAAAAAGTCCCATGATATTTTTCTGTCATTAAAACGTCAGCTTGGCTCAAACCAGATAAAGATGAATGAAGAATGAGATGGGTCATTTCGGTAAAGCAGTACCTTTTGAGCTCTGTAACCTTTGTAATAAAAAAAAATAAAAATGTGGAATGTCAGAAATATGGTCAAGCTCAACAAATTAGAGAAAATTAACAGGATGCCCAACAGAATGGAAATAAAAGTCATTTCTCGGAGAAGGAATTGAGAGTTACTGCTTACAGCTTGAGGGTTTTAACTTTTTTAACTTTTTTATCATCTTTCATGTTTTAAAGTGAGACTAAAACCACAATCAGTATAGAATGAATGTAATTTTGTTAGTTAAAGGGATATTACGGGGGGGGGGGGGGGGGTAGTTATGACTAACACTGACTAATATGATTCCCATTTTAAAAAACTATGAGTTTATTGTTGTATCCATTATATTACAATTAAACATGCATTGCCATTCAAAAGTTTTGGGTCAGTATTTTATTTTATTTAGTTTTTTTTTAAGAAATTAATACTTTTAATCAGCAAATATCACAGTGAATACATTTTATAATGTTACAAAAGATTTCTAAATGCTGTTATTTTGAACTTGCTATTCATCAAAGAATCATTTAGAAGAAAATGTATCACAGTTTCCACAAAAATATTAAGCCCCATGTTCATTAACTGCGTAGTAAGAATGACCCAAGAAACATTTTGTCATTCTCTGCTCAACTTCATGTTGTTTAAAATCAGTATTAAACACAAAATTACAAATATTTTCCTTAAAAGTGGTCCACGCTATACTCCAAGACTTCTGAAGCCATTTAATATATTTTTCTGTAATAAATAGATCAAAATGAGACATAACTAAATATGGCTCCTATGAAGTCTATGTGAAATATGCTGTGTCTCTGAATTGCATTTGTAGGACTCATTTCTCTTCCTTATATGAACGCCAGACGGCATTATATGCTGCACTCCTGATTTTAGATTCACGCAGTACTAAGAAATTTCCAAAAGATGCATATGTAATGAGCTGGATTTTAGTTATTAGCCTGATTCAAGCAGATATCTACTTTTTACGAACACGTGTAGCTTGTTTTGTCATGCTGATTAGACAGAGATGAGCGTCTTTTTAGACTCAAAAGCAATTAGATGCCGTTGGAATGCAGGAAATGATTAAAAAAACGGTAGAACAAAGGAAAGAACGGTCCAGATTAGAGAGCCAGTATTGTTTGGCCCCATCCTGTGCCAAGAGAGAGAGAGAGTTGCTTTTATCACAGGCCTGCAGGTGGCCGTTCAGCATTGGAGCTCCTGTTTAATTACCTATCCATAGTGCAACCAGAGATAAGAACACACTAGACACCCGACATTGAGATACACCTCTTGTGTTAGAAGAGTTTTGAATAGTCTCACTTTGCAAATAATACTCGATGCGTTACAGTGTTTGCATTCTAATGGGGCACCTTACCGCACAGATGTACACTCTTGTCAGGTGCCGTCAGTCAATTTCATGCATAGATGTACATTATTAACAGAAAGTGTGTGTTGTAATTAGTTGAAACAAGTC